TTTACTTATACACTCAAAGAAGCACTTATAAGAGATATGACAGTAAAAAGAGAAAGGAAACAAGAATCAGTGTATCTGTAAGGAGAGCAGTCACGTGTATGTACTAATATAGACATAAAACTGAACACCTCAACATTGCAATACATCAAGGTCGACCCAACAGCCTTTAAATATCTAGAAACACTCAAACAGTTAATCTCAAGTGTACATAAAAGAGCATAAATAAACCAGTGTCCTTCAGAAAGTTCTCTTGAATAGAACGAAAATAATATTCACCTACTTTCACTGATCCACATCCAACAGTGTCATCATGTCACTAAGGTTAACGTGAACTTTAAAAAAAACATAGGAAAAACGGTTCCATTTTTAGCACATCACTGTTGTGTAAACACACCCTTACTGCCAACAGCACTTTTACAAACCTATGCACATACAGTACTACTAAGCTGTCAGTGAGATTTGAATCACCAACCTAATAATAAGTAAAGAGTATAAGTTTACATTGTGGCAGCTTGTGACACTGCACTAGTTGTACTGACATTTCATCCCACCGAGTTCCAAGCATGGTTTGCAAGAGGCACTACAGTGCAGGCTAGCGAAACTCTTTCTGTCCTGAGGTGACCCACATGATGTTATTTCCAGTTTAAACATATTTAGCTCTTACCCATAGAGCTCATTCTGCTTGGCAGTATAAGTTTTCGCCTATTGGCAGCATCTGTTATCCATCTCAGTAACTGAAGACCTTGTGTACATCTGTGACACTATAGCCGATTTAAGAACAAAACTGACTAAAATTAGGCGACATGGTAGCTTAGTGGTTGGCACTGTCACCTCACAGCAAGATGGTCACTGGTTTGAGTCTCGGCAAAGTCAGTTGACATATCTGTGTGAAGTTTGCATGTTCTTGTTGGCTTGGGTTTCCTCTGGGTGCTCCGGTTTCCCACACAGTCTTAAGAAATGCGGTATAGGTGAATTAAATAAACAAAATGTCTGTGGCTATGACTTATAGCTAAGTTGGTGGTTCATTCCGCTGTGATACCCCCTGATGAATAAAAGGACAAAGCCGAAGGTGAATGAATGACAAATTATTAGGCCCACTGTTGATAATCAATTAAACTACTATAACTATTACACAATTAAAAAACATTGCACAAACCAAACATGCTTGAAAACAAAGTAAAGTGCTTGTATTGTAATTCAATTTAATTCTAGCAAAATTCTTGTCTTGTGTCCTGAATATGTCAACAATAATTATTTTCTCTTTAGAAGTGAACCAAAATCATTAATATTGTAATAAAACATCAGGAAATGCTCTTTATAAGCAGGCCATACTATTTTTGAGTGTAAGTAAAAAATGGTGATAGGTGATCGTCTTCAGATACTATTTTCGTTATACTGGTTGAAAGGCTCTTCTCATGCTAATAGCAGGGGTGAACTTTGGGGGACATAAGCAATTCAAGATATGAGGCCCAAGCATTAAAACTCACAACACTCTCTTTCTCTGTAGATATTTTTAAGTGAAACCTCTATCTTCTTATTGTAAAATTCAATACAATAAATTTAAGATCACAAACTAACTATATACAAATAATTGGGCATATTTTCTTTGAAAAAGAGTAATTACATTAAAATAGTAATTGTTATAGATAGATTTTACAACATACGATAAAAAACCATATAAAAGAGCTATATGATTAATGTAGGCTTCTTGCCATTGGTCGGGGCCTTCTTATTCCCTGGGGCCCTAAATGGTTGCCTACCTCGCTTACTGGTTATTTGGACGGGAAATTTTCACCGGATGTTGGTAACAACCAAATACACCCATATATGTAAATAAAACAAAACTACTTAGTATACAAATTGAGTTATACTGAATAAAGTGAAATGAAACAGGTATGAAACACATTAAAAAAGGGAGGTGTGGAAAGGCAGTAAAAGCCCAGACAGCAGTTGAAATCTCTCAGAAGCTCTTCAGCAACTCTCTGCCCTTTGTCATTGTAAATTAATTTCAGCTGCTTCAGTATACCATCTACATTAGCAGGATGATGAAGATGAAACTATGGTGGAAATATGAGCAAGATAATTATCCAAAACAAAGCCAAGGAAACTCAAATGTTTCAGAGAAAGAAAATCAAGCTGTAGAATGGCCCAGCCAATCATCTGACTTGAATCCAATAGAAAATACAAACTAAAGATCAGATTTGACTGACAAGAACCACAGAACCGTCAATATTTGTACACACTGATGAAGTCTGTAAAAAAAAATCACCTGAGCAATGCATTTAATTTCATTCCATACCACATGTTTTTGGATTTGTGGGGGAAACTGGAGCACCCGAAGATGGGGAGAACATGCAAACTCCACACAGAAAAGCCAACTGAACCAGACGGGGCTCGAACCACTGACCTTCTTGCTGTGAGGTGATTCTGCTACCCACTGCGTCACTGTGCTGCCCTACACATAACATTTTTTCTGTTATTTTTTGGTTGAACTTTTTTTATGTTTGTATTGTTTACGTTTTAACCTAAATCTGGGTTAATCCCATGTCAACAGCTCCTTTAAAAAAAAAAAAAAAAAAAAAAAATATATATATATATATATATATATATATATATATATATATATATATATAATTTTATTATGGGTTTTCACCTTTTTTTGGATAAGACAGTGGAGATTTCTACAGACAGGAAATGTGGGGAGCAGAGATAGGGGAAGGATCAGCAAAGGACCTTAAGCCTGGAATCAAACTCAGGTCGCCGTGAGCACCTTGATGCTATGTGTCAAAGCACTAACCACTAGGCTATTGCCACTGACCTCTGTTAAAAATATTACACCCAGGAAAAAACACGACGTGTTTAATACTTACTTCCCCCACTGTATATGTATATTAAAATTCTGTGGACGCTGTAGGACCAAAAAAAAAGTTTTAAAGTTGGGTTAAAAATCACAATCCAACATGCTTTTTAGGTTAAAACAGCCCAATGCTGGGTTCTTTTATTGACCCAACACTGGGTCTCTCTGGTTTATGTTACATATTGTAGTGAGGATAGTCCAGTGTGCATTCATGCATTCACGAAGCATCCATGGGTTTGGATGGCGATTTGAATGGTGGAACGTAAGCTTTCTGTGCTATCAGGCTAACTTTAGCATTTTCGAAGATCTCTGCACCTTACTACTGCACTTAAGGTGATGATCTCTGCACCTTACTACTGCACTTAAGGTGATGATACAAGGGGCAACTCTTTGAGCTTTTTGTTCCTAGACAATATTGAAGAGCAATGCTGCTTGGCTACTTTTCCTAGCAAGAAAATGGTATCTGTATCTGGTTGCCCCAATTAGTTGCCCTATGTCTCACCTTGATGCCCATTGATGGCATTAATCATTGACCAAAGTTTTCTGGCAACAATTCCCCTGTGTATCATCACCTTTAAATTTAAGTAAAGAACATCACTCCAAAAGAGCTCAAAGATTCGCACAAAGTGTCACCTTGAGTAGTTTAGAGTCATGGCACAACCAAAATGTCACATTGGTCCGACAAGCATTTGAATTCCGCCCTTTCAGACTTGGCAACAGTTTAATGATGTTTATTAACATCATGCAAGATGTCTTGGTGCCAAATATATTTTCATTAAGCTGGTCTAAACATGCCAACAAGATATACAGATACAGGCTACATGAACACGAAAGCTTTTTTAATACTGAGCTTAAATTGTAGATAAAACACTCATTACTTTTAATGAATATGTACTGAATATAACAACACCGGAGTATTGGAAAGACATGTCTCAGAATAAATTTTTGCGAAACATAAAATGTGCTGCTTCTTGTATGTTTTGTGGCAAATTTTAGACGACATTTTCACTAAGTGAAGTTTGTTTATAAACAAATTTTGAGAGGATCACATGCTTATAATTGCTTGCAGCTGGTCCCGCATTATCCAATTCATGATTCACCAATCAGACGATTCCTAAGCCACTATAAATACCCTAAGTTCCATATAACAGCCATCATCATTTTTAAGAATCCCTCTTCCACCCCTACTACTCCTCCTCCTTTCCTAGATGGGTGGACCGGTGGTTAGCACTGTTGCCTCACTGCAAGAATGTCACTGGTTCTAGTCTTTACCAAGCCAGCCAACGTTTCTGTGCAGAGTTTACACATTCTCCCAGCTCATGTGGGTTTCCCCCGGGTTCCCCGGTTTCCTCCCACCATCCAAAAACTTGCAACTTAAGTTAATTGACTAAGCCAAATGACAGTGTTTAAGCATGTGAAATTCTGTCATACTGCGCTGCGAAAAGGGGTGGGATTAAGCAAGATGATTTGACAAAAAAGTGAGTGATTGGTCCATATTTGAAACTTCTGTACACTCAGGTCATGTTTAGATGTTTGATTGGTTGCACGCAGTCACATGATTCGATTTCGCAGGTCAGTTTTGACCAGGTATTGACTTTGCAATGCAGCGAACTGCTAAACTTGTCGCATGAGCTTGCGTTTCCGGTCTGTTGCATTCACATGCATACGAATGGAAGTCTATGGGGCGAAAGAGCAGTGTGTCCATGGCTTAATAGAAATAGATATGTCAGGCAAGTGCATTCAGTTACAAACTGTTGACACTGTTAGTAAGTACATGAAAATAATCCTTTGTTCGTAGATAATATGAATCTGTGAATATAATTAGTGTGCATGTTAGTGTCATACTGCATTAATATCTTAAACTGCAGACTGCAGTCAAACATGTTTAAGTATGTTTTTGTGATATCACAGAAATGTAGGCTGATGTACTGTGTTGCAAAGTAAAGCTTTAAAAATAAATAGAAATGCTTTATTTTGCAACAATAAACTCCATGCAGCTATCTGTTTTCAAGGGAAATTCACCATGTGTCACAGTTTTCCAAGAAAAACCCACCATGAGCCGTTTGATTAAATTAATATAACCTGATATTTACTCAATTATCTTCTGCTGTCTTCTCCAAGAAAGAAAGTCAGGCCATTTTTATATATTGTGGCAGTGAGTAAATGGTGATAGAACATAATTTTTTTTTCTTGTGTGAATTATCCTTTAACTTAATCAAATTATACATTTATGGCCTTGAGGCAAAATAAAATGCTACAATGAAAAGTATATATGTTTTATTTGCCATTAACATGGTTACTAAGGTTCAGTCAATTTAAGACACAATCACTTCTTTCCTCTCTTTTGGAATCCTGAGAAGAAATGTCCACACAGATCCATTCCTTGGAAACCCCTTCATTTGCTTAGAAGGTTTCCACATGTTTCCCGCAATGGTGTATTCCAGAGTCAAGGTGCGATTCAGTGTGAACACTGAGTCTCCTCTCACTACAGATGTAAACAGTGCCCCCTTGCTATTGCCATAGTGCCCAGGCATTGATGTCCATTGCCCTGTGGTGATGTTGTAGCAATCCATCAAACAGCGCAGGAAATCATCTTTGGGACCATTGCGTATGACATAAAGGTTGTCCCTGTGGGCCACCATACAGTGTCCATAGCTCTGGTGCTTCAGAAGGGTACTCACCAGAACCCATGCATCTTGTTTTGGGATGTATTCATAGATTTCATTGGTGTCCATCGGCTTCCAAAGACACACAAATATTCGGCTCATGGCATTGGTGCATGCGATCCCCGCTACCGGTCGAGGTAAAGGTGCTGCAAAAGTCCACTCCTTTGTGGCAACATTATATATCTCAACTGAGGACATAGTGGTCCCTCCAGACTCTCCTCCCATGGCATAGAGGCTACCTTCAATCCCTGTTAGGGTGAAGTTGTACCGTGACTGTCTGGGGCCTGGCAGCAAACTCCAGGTGTTGGTGACAACATCATAGCAAAAGCTAGCATCCACAGCTCTCTTGTCAACACCATGCACACCTCCAACAACATAGAGTTGGTTGTCCAAAACAGTCAAACCAGACAAAGATGTGCTGGCCTCCATAGGCAAGGCGGTAAGAACCTTCCAGTCTCCTTCATCCTCATCGAGGTAGCATACCGTTCTTGTGGCAGCAAGAGGAAGCTCATCTGCGGTGCAAGTTGAGTGGGAACCTACCGCCACGAATGCACTAGGAACCAGAGAGTCCACAAATTCGGTCAGCTCCTGTGGAAGGTCCTTCAAGTCCTCTTGCAGGTCATGGTACATATTGCGAATAAACTGCGCCGACATTTCTTGGAGACCCCATAAACCATAAATGGCAGAAGCTTGGTACATGAGCAGACAATTGTCAGAGTTGAGAAGATCCTGAAGATGCCTGGCAAGTGGTTCGGTCTGGAAGAAAGCAGCACATTCAATGGCTTCCAAAATCTCATCATCATTTAGAATGGGTCTGTCACCAGTGGCCACAGACAACATTATTACGAATCCTTTAGCTTTAAGGTTCTTGAGGTGAATCTCTTCTTGATGGCACTCTATCATCCCAGATCTGTAAAGAGCCCTGAAATATTCGCATTCCTTTATCAACAAAGACTTGTTTGTTTCAAAGACATTATCTCCAACTCTGACCTTGACAATATCCATGTCTAGCAGCCTATTTGAACAAACTGGTCTGGTGTTCTTGGATAATAAAAGCTTACTGTTGTTTAAAATAATGCATGGTGAACAATTGTCTACAAAATATCCACCAAAACTCAACCATAGCCTGGCATTTACAACAAAATAGCCCCGCAAGTGAGTTAACAGAACTGCCCCCCTCCAGCTGGCGCATGGTTGGGGTTCAGTTCTGTTACTAAGATAGCACTGCCTATTGATAGCAGCAGTGCCTCATGACAGACATTTAACAGAAATGAGCAATGACTTGAGCGAGGAACAACATACTCATAACACTTTTAAGGTCAATGATATGAATTACACTGCATCTGTGATTAATTGTGCTGATTGGTTGTTTGTTCTTGCTAGCGGCAGTGTCATTGTATCCAACAAAACAGTTAGCTCAAGCTGTTGGATTCTTTGAGGTTTATTAAGTGATACTTCATATTGTTTGTTCTATGGGTGTGAATGACACATCAAGTTATGTGGTATGTAAATACGTTACTAAAGACGTCAGATGGACAATTAAGTAAAAATGAATCTGAACTGAGTTGACTGGATTTGTTTAAGAGATCTAGTGAAGTATCAAGCAAATACTTTCCAGACACATATTTTTATGTAGAATTTTTGAGGACAGCACAAAATTTTAAGCAATACACATTTACATTCGAATGAAAATGTATCTCCTTTTTAAAAAGGACACTATTTTGTAAATGTAACTGCAGGTTAGCCATGTATATAAACTGTCCACCCTATACACAACACCTAAACCCTTTCTGAATGTGACTCTAATGTAACGTTTATCTTTTGTAAAGTTGCTTTAGAGGCGACGCAGTGGCGCATTAGGTAGTGCTGTCACCTCACAGCAAGAAGGTCACTGGTTCAATCCTCGGTTTAGTTGGCGTTTCTGTGTGGAGTTTGCATGTTCTCCCTGCGTTCACGTGGGTTTCCTCCGGGTGCTCCGGTTTCCCCCACAGTCCAAAGACATGGGGTACAGGTGAGTTCCCCTTCGGGGGGAACTTCAGCACTATAAGTGGATTTGATTGTAAAATCCACGCATTGGGAGGTTCGGTTCAGAAGCTACTCGTCTGAAAGAGTATTGAACGGGCCAATTAAGAATGAATTGGCAGCGCAAGCCTGCGCAGGTGAGCGGCATAAGCAATCAACTGAGTATATAAGCTCACCTGGCGCCAGCAGACGCTATCCTTTTCGCTTCAGAGACTTTCTGATCGAGTCGATGAGGGTTCCTCCTGCTGTGACCAGCGATTCTGAGCGAACGAGAGCATTCTCCCGGTCCAGAGTGTGTACACGCAGTGGCAGACGGTCGAGCTGGGTTTCTCCCTTGCCTGGCGTTCTTTGGGTCCGGTCCTCCAGAGCGGTGCGTATAAAGTTGCAAACTTCACAGAAAGAGCAACACAGTCGTGCAGCACGTCCTTATCAGGACGGCGCTCCGACTGTGCGTTTCTGGATGCGGTGGTTTCCTGTCCTCGGATGATGGGCGCGGGCACTGCGTTACATGTCTGGGGGTCCAGCATGTTAATGCGCTGCTCGCGGGCAGTTCATGTCGTCATTGCGATGCCATGACTGTTGCGCAAGATCGCGGTTAGCCTTTGCAAAAGGGCGAACCACCCCAGTTGTCCCCTGTTCTGCAGCGGGCACTCGGGCAGATCTGAGGGTTTCAGCGAGAGATAATCCGTCGCCCACGGGCCCGCGGACCTCCCGCTCCTCTAAGCGCTCCATCCAAGCTTCGGGCGGGGGAAGCGATCCGTCTAACAGATGGTAGCCCTTACGCCCGATGACACCGGAGACCAGATGTCCACCGCGGCATCGGAGGGTGGGCTTTCATTGTCCGATGATGATCCAGACCCGCTCGCCCCCTTCGGGCTGGTGAGCGCTGTCACTACGGATCCTGAAACGGACATGTTAGCCGTGCTTTCCCGGGCTGCTTCGGCCGTGGGTTGGAGATGGTTTATCCCCCAGCTCCGCGGCCGGACCGACTAGAGGGGCGTTCCCTTCTTCCCGGAGGTGCACAGTAGGCTCACGCGGTCTTGTAAAGCACTTTTTTCTGCTCGTGCTGCGTGTTCCTCCACCCTAACCACTCTTGACGGTGAAACAGCCAGGGGGTATGTGGCGATTCCTCAGGTTGAGTGCGCGATGGCGGTAAATCCGCGCGGCGCCTCTTCTTGGCGGGTTCGCCTCGTCTCCCATCCAAAGCCTGTAAGTTATCTACCTCCCTCGGAGCTAGAGCTTACATAGCTGCGGGCCAGGCTGCTTCCGCCTTGCATGCGATAGCCACCTACCAGCGCTACCAAGCGCAGGCGCTGGCCGAGCTGCACGAGGGTGGGTCCAACCCAGGCTTACGAGCTTCGCACCGCCGCCGACTTAGCTCTTCGGACTACTGAGTCCGCTGCGTGTGCGTTGGGGAGGACGATGTCCACATTAGTGGTCCAGGAGCGCCACCCCTGGCTGATATGCGCAAAGTCGACAAAGTCCGCTTTCTTGACTTCCCCATATCCCCAGCCAGGTTCGGCGACACTGTCTGTGAATTCACCCAGGAATTCAAGGCGGTGAGAGAGCAGTTGGTGGGTGATGTCTTATCGGCGGTCCGTAGCCCGCTCCGCCCGCCGTGCCATTCATACCTGCTCCTCGCCGAAGGCGCCCGCCTACGAGAGCTGCTCTGCCCCCGCACACGCCTTCGGCGAAGCGAGCGCGTCGGGCACCTCGGAAGCAGGCAGCCCCCCTGCCCAGAACGCCGCTAAGTCCGGCAACGGACCGCGAAGCGCCCCTGGGACAGGCCATCTGGAGAAGAGGGAACTTGCTCTTTCCCCGCTGGAGGGCGGGGCCCCATTTCCAACGGCACTTTTTACTGCCATGAAAACATTATGAAAGGGCACTTTTCACTTCCCCAGATGTGACAGCCCGAAATCTGCCAGTCTGGGACGCTATGCTTTCTAGCTTGCAGATTCGGTGCGTTTCGCCAGTGGCTCACGAGCGCTGGGAGGACGGTCTCCTTTCTCCCACCCCTCGAGCCTCCCCTCCGGAGCTCGGGTTTGGAGTGAGAGCAAATATCTCACCTCCAGCTTTTCCGTGGGACCCGCGAGCTTCCCGGATCAGCACACCCACTCCGCGCTGCCCCACTGCTGGTACGTCAGCGATTGTAGCGATGAGTCCATTAGCGAGAGCTCTGCCTGCCTGGTTAGCGCGGGCCAGCTCTTCGCGGTGGCTCATACGCACAATCAGACTCGGCTATGCGATTCAGTTCGCGAAACGGCCCCCCAAGTCACGGGTGTGTATTCACCAGGGTCAGCCCCCTGTCCGCCCCTGTCTTGCGAGAGGAGATTGCTGTCCTCCTGGCGAAGGATGCAATCGAGCCGCTCCCTCCAGCCGAGATGGAGAGCGGGTTTTACAGCCCACGCTTCATCGTGCCCAAAAAGAGCGGTGGGTTACGGCCAATCCTAGATCTGCGCGTTTTGAACCGCTGCCTGCACAAGCTGCCGTTCAGAATGCTAACGCAGAAGCGCATCCTCCGGTGCGTTCGTCCTCTGGGTTGGTCTGCAGCATTAGACCTGATGGATGCGTATTTCCATGTCTCCACTCTTCCTCGCCACCGACAGTTTCTGCGGTTTGCGTTTGAAGGTCGAGCTTGGCAATACAAAGCCCTCCCCTTCGGGCTCTCTCTGTCTCCGCGGGTCCTCACCAAGCCCGCGGAGGGTGCCTCAGCGCCCCTTCGGCTCGCGGGCATCTGCATACTCAATTTCTTTACGACTGGCTGAATTTGCCCTCTCTTTGATTATGCACAGAGTTGATTATGCACAGAGACAAAGTGCTCTGGCACTTCCACCTGTGGGGGTTTCAGGTCAACCGAGAAAAGAGCAAACTCGCCCCCGTGCAGAGGATCTCTTCTCTCGGGCTGGAGCTGGACTCGGTCACCATGGCAGCGCGCCTCTCCGGAGAGCGCGCTCAGCTGATGCTGTACTGTCTGAGAGAGCTCGACAGTAAAATAGTGGTCCCACTGAAACTATTTCAGAGGCTCCTGGGGCATATGGCATCCGCAGCCGCTTCATGCCGCTCGGATTATTCTATATGAGACCACTTCAGCACTGGCTTCACGATCGAGTCCCCAGACGCGCATGGCACGCGCGCGCACACCGAGTCTCTGTTACTGCGCTGTGTCGCCGCGCCCTCAGCCCTTGGAGCGATCCCTCGTTCCTACAGGCCTGGGTGTCTCTAGAACAGGCGTCCAGTCTTGTTGTCGTTTCAGCAGACGCTTCCAACACGGGCTGGGGGGCTGTGCGTTGCGGGCATGCGGCTGCGGACCTGTGGAAAGGTACCCAGTTGCATTGGCATATCGCCTGGAGCTGTTGGCAGTGTTCCTCGCTCTCCACCGTTTTTTTCCGGTGCTGGAGCGGCAACACGTGCTGGTCAGGACGGACAGTACGGCGGCGGTGGCGTATATCAGCCGTATAGGGGGTATGCGCTCTCGCCGCATGTCTCAGCTCGCCCGCCGTCTGCTCCTCTGGAGTCATCCGCGGCTGAAATCGCTGCACGCCATTCATATTCAGGCAAGCTCAACCGTGCAGCCGATGCGCTCTCACGGCAGCCTTGCGTCCTGGAGCATGGAGACTCCACCCCGAGTCTGTTCAGCTGATATGGGCGCGATTCGGGGAAGCCCAGATCGATCTGTTGCTTACCCCGAGATCGCTCATTGCCAGTTGTTCTTTCCCTGACCGAGCGCTCTCGGCACGGATGCACTGGCTTACAGCTGGCCTCGGGGCACGCGCAATACGCGTTTCCCCCAGTGAGCCTGCTCGCGCAGTTACTGTGCATGGTCAGGGAGGACGAGGAACAGGTTGCTGGTTGCGCCCCTCTGGCTCAACCGGACCTGGATGTCAGAGCTCTCCCTCGCGATAGCCCTCCCCTGGCAGTCCCTTCGAGGGAGCACCTACTCTCTCAGGGACAGGGCACCCCCTGGCACCCTCGCCGATCTTTGGAGATTTTTAGACGCGAGGAAGACTTAGGTAACCTCCGATTGCGGTGGCTAATACCGTCACTCGGGCTAGAGCCCCCTCCCCGAGCTCGCCTATGCCCTGACGTGAAGTCTATTCACTGAATGGTGTGTCTCTCGCTGAGAAGACCCCCGTAATTTGCCAGATCAGCGTTGTGCTTTCTTTAGAGAAGCTGGAGAGCAGGCTGTCGCCCTCCACACTCAAGGTTACGTGGCTGCCATCTCCGCTCTCATAACGCGGTGGCTGGCAGCACCGTGGGAACGCACAACCTCATCATCCGGTTCCTCAGGGGCATTAAGCGAATTAATCCACCCCGCCCCCTCTCATGCCCTCTTAGGATCTCGCCCTCGCTACACAAGCCGCGTCAGATCCCTTCGATCCTCGACTCAGTATATTTCTGTCCCTGAAGACAGCTCTGCTGGTC